TGCTTGAAGTCCAGTGTGAAGTTTCCACAGTCTGTGTTGATTTGGGGAGCCATGTCATCTGCTGGTGTTGGTCCACTGTGCTTCATTAAGTCCAGGGTCACCGCAGCCGTCTACCAGGAGATTTTGGAGCACTTCATGCTTCCTTCCACAGACGAGCTTTATGGGGATGCTGACTTCATTTTCCAGCAGGACTTGGCACCTGCCCACACTGCCAAAAGCACCAAAACCTGGTTCAATGACCGTGGGATTACTGTGCTTGATTGGCCAGCAAAACTCGCCTGACCTGAACCCCATTGCCAAGAGAAAGATGAGAGACATGAGACCGAACAATGCAGAAGAGCTGAAGGCCGCTATTGAAGCATCCTGGTCTTCCATAATACCTCTGAAGTGCCACAGGCTGATAGCTTCCATGCCACGCTGCATTGAGGCAGTAATTGCTGCAAAAGGGGCCCAAACCAAGTACTGAGTACATATGCATGCTTATACTTTTCAGAGGTCCGATATTGTTCTATGTACAATCCTTGTTTTATTGATTGCATGTAATATTCTCATTTTCTGAGATTGTGGATTTGGGGATTTCATGAGCTGTAAGCCATAATCATCACAATGATGACAAATCACGGCTTGAACAATCTTGCTTTGCATGTAATGAGTCTATCTCATATATTAGTTTCACCTTTTAAGTTGCATTACTGAAATAAATGAACTTTTGCACAATATTCTAATTTTTCGAGCTTCACCTGTATGTTAGTGATAATAAAAAATATGAATAAACACAAGTGCTTACTATGGTGAATACAAAATATAAATAAATAAGTATGATATAAATACTGTAGAGCTTCTGTTTATGAGGAATACGGCTGAGCCTAAGGCGGTTATCTGGAGGGAGGATCTTTTGGAGCTATTATTCAGCAATTTCATCTTCAGAGTCCATACATTTGGGACCAAAAGTGCAGTTAGACCAAAACATTGTATAGTGTGAGGTCACACTGCTGAAGGTGAGCAGATTTATGGTGGAGGATGGTTTGCACTGGAATTCTGTGACAGATGGCCTCTTTCAAATGAATGACCAAGGAGCGGAAAAAACTGGTGGTTGAACTTTGGTTATACCAACCCCAATTGCCCACATAAATTCTATCATTACAACCAGTTGGGGCTGTACACATGGTGTAACCCTAATGCATTGCTTTGTGACTGTGTCAATTTTTTTAACTTGACTAGCAGAGTTTTTGACAGGTAGCACCTCCTGTCAAAAATGCCCATTAAAGACAAAGGAAGTGTTCCACAACCACAAGCCAAGCATTTGTGTAGTAAAAAAACAAAAAAAAAAAAGACAGAGGTGGCAGGATTGCCTCCGGAATGCCTGGCAGCAATGAAAAATCCTCAGTGCAATCACCCTAAAACAGTGCAAACTAATGGAAGAAAACTCTATCTAACAGCGATGTATAAACTAATGCTAGTATAACAGTATAAGTGACTCAGTGCTGCGCAGTACTAAATCTTCCGATGATAAATTCTCATGTGCTGTGCAATATCACATAACATCATATAATAAACTGAATTAGATGGACATGCGTGTATCCTATGTGTTTATGTCCAAACATAGAACATGCGTAGAATGTATGCGTCTATGTCATCACAATATATCTAGAACAATACTCAAATCAAATCTTATAATTAAAGTATGTTCAGTGGACATGCGTGTATCATATGTGTATATGTCAAAACATAGAATCATGAGTAAAATATATGCGTTTAACTCATCGCCATATATCTGAAACAAGCCACACCCATAACTACAACACATAATAATGACTTAGGAGTATAGAAATCTGGACCTGCTCAGGGGGCGGGGCTGTGACCAGACAGAGAAATGAATACAGGAACAGAAAAATGTGGTCATATACAGAATATTATTCAGACTAAAGCAGACTTGTATCACCTCGGATTACACCACTAGGACAACACTCTGATTATGATGTCATCCTAACAGGTGTTCCTCTATATGATGACATCATTTACCAAAACGACCCGGCACACATTTCCATCGCAGAATATGAGATTGTATAGCAATTATTGAATGACCTATCAGTCCCTTCCATGGACATGGAGAGCTCTGACTTCTCCATACAGACCTGTTTCCTCTGTTACAATATGGGACTTTTCTTGGATTTTTGCCCCCTGGTCATTTCCATTCAGCGGTCAGTTTCTACCAGACAGAATACTGCTAAGGAGGGGGAGGGGACGATTGTTTCTTCCAATATGAAGGTTTTAGTGTATTTCTGAGGTGAGAAGCTAGATCATCCGCTTGTCCCCGTTTCAGTATTCCTATGTTAGGTTAGATTGTAAGCTCCATGAGCAAGGCCCCCCTATTCCTTCTGTACTGAAATGTATTGTAATTGTACTGTCCCCCTTTCTATTGTAAAGTGCTATGCAAACTGTTGGGCTATATAAATCCTGAATAATAATAATGTTATTTACATGTAATCTATAGTGTATTTTAGTGACTGTGTATGGAATTGTAATAAATGTAATAACTGGATATGACATTACTGACCGGTCATTTTTTAATATTCCAGGGTGTTCACATATATTTAATTCTGTCTAATTCTCATACACAACTTCTGAGGTGTAACATCTCCCCTCTCACTTAGGGGTCTATTTTTAAAACAAATGTTATATGAATGTGACAAACATTGGATCATCCTTGCTGAATTCTAGATATAATGTATTAATACAATGACTTCTTATTACTATAAGCTCTAAGATCTAGTGGCCATAATTGTTTCAGAAAATATTTATTTATTTTTATTTATTTATCGAGTTTATATAGCGCCAAAGGGTTTGCTCAGCGCTGTACAATAGAGGGGGGACAATACATGAAACAGAACAGTAACATCAAACAGCACACAAGGGGTAAGAGGGCCCTACTCTTTCGAGCTTACAATCTAGGAGGGAGGGGGTAGAGGTACAGGAGGAAATGGCTGTGGGGGATGGAGTGGAAGGAGGAGGGAAGGGCAGCGGCTGTTAGGTGAGGGTGGGGTAGGCTTCCCTGAAGAGGTGGGTTTTCAGGGAGCGCCTGAAGGTGAGGAGGGAAGGTGACAGTCTGATGGGTTGGGGTAGTGAGTTCCAGAGGATGGGGGAGGACCTGGAGAAGTCTTGCAGTCGTGCGTGGGAGGAGGAGACCAGGGAGCAAGATAGAAGGAGGTCCTGTGAAGAGCGGAGGGTACGGGTAGGGTGGTACTTGGGAATCAGGTCGGTGAGGTAGTTAGGGGCAGTGTTGTGAATGGCTTTATAGGTCAGAGTGAGCAGTTTGAATTTAATGCGTTGGGCAATGGGGAGCCAGTGGAGGGAGAGGCAGAGGGGGGTGGCAGAGGTGGAGCGGCTGGTGAGGTGGATGAGTCTGGCAGCTGAGTTCAGGATGGTCTGAAGCGGGGTGAGTTTGCACTGGGGTAGGCCGGTGCGGAGGGAGTTGCAGTAGTCAAGGCGTGAGATAATCAGGGAGTGAACGAGTAGTTTAGTGGTGTCTGGGGTAAGGAAGGAGCGTATCTTGGAGAAAATAAAATAAACTGCATTATGAAAACTAGATGGAGCTGACAATCATAGGAAAACACTGTATAAGTAAAAATATGGCCAGAATTTGTCAGGGGTCTCCAAACTGTGGCCAGAGGGAGTAGAAAAAGTCCTGGTGTCAGTGGCAGTAAAAAAATCCCCATGACTGGTGGCAGTGGGAGGAATAGTATCACATATTGGTATCAATGAGAGGAATAGTGCCCCATCATTGGTATAAGTGGGAGGAACAGTGCCCCATCATAGGTATCAGTGGGAGGAATAGTGCCCATCATTGGTATCAGCGGTAGGAATAGTGCCCCATCATTGGTATCAGTGGGAGGAATAGTGCCCCATCATTGGTATCAGTGGGAGGATTAGTGCCCATCATTGGTATCAGTGGGAGGAATAGTGCCCCATCATTGGTATCAGTGGGAGGAATAGTGCCCCATCATTGGTATCAGCGGTAGGAATAGTGCCCCATCATTGGTATCAGTGGGAGGAACAGTGCCCCATCATAGGTATCAGCGGGAGGAATAGTGCCCATCATTGGTATCAGCGGTAGGAATAGTGCCCATCATTGGTATCAGCGGTAGGAATAGTGCCCCATCATTGGTATCAGTGGGAGGAATAGTGCCCCATCATTGGTATCAGTGGGAGGAATAGTGCCCCATCATAGGTTTCAGTGGGAGGAATAGTGCCCCATCATTGGTATCAGTGGGAGGAATAGTGCCCCATCATTGGTATCAGTGGGAGGAATAGTGCCCCATCATAGGTATCAGTGGGAGGAATAGTGCCCCATCATTGGTATCAGTGGGGGGAATAGTGCCCATCATTGGTATCAGCGGTAGGAATAGTAACCCATTATTGGCGTCAGTAGGAGGAATAGTTCTCCATTGTTGGTGTCAGTGGCAGGGACTATGCCCCACTGTTGCAGACAGTGAGCAAATAATGCCCCAAAGGCTGGATAAAATGAAGCAAAGGGCCACATTTGGCCCTTGGGCTGCAGTTTGGAGACCGCTGGTTTAGGTAAACAGAGGTGAGTATAATGTTTTAGTGTGATCAGATGTAACTGAGTCCCACTGGAGTGTTTCTAGCACAGATCACTGATCTGAGAATTCTCATTTCCATCTCCCCGGTATTTGCATACACAGTGTGTGGGGGGAACACCTCCCCTGTCACTCTCTCTATATATCTCATTGTACAGGAGACGTCTTCTAGTTTGGATCTGACCCTCCAGAAACATCAAGATGCTTTCTCCCAGTTATCTGCTGGCTGTCATCTTCATTTCTATTCAGGGTGAGAGATGAGGCTCCTTCCATCCTCCTCTGCACATACATCTATACATTGTACAATAAATACACACATCAGGATTGATAGGAAGATATCCAGACATTGATCAATAATCAATATGTCTCTTCCCATCCTCAGGATCCTGTGGAGAGATTGTGATGACTCAGACTCCGGATTCTATCTCTGTGTCCCCGGGACAGACAATCACCATCACATGTACATCCAGTACTGGCACAGGGAATAATATAGCCTGGTACCAACAGAAGTCAGGAAAGTCCCCAACACTTCTCATCTATGGTGCAGCCACCCGACACACAGGAGTCCCAGACCGGTTCACTGGCAGGAGTGATGGATCTCCTTACACTCATTACACTCTGACAATTACTGCTGTGACTGAAGATGATGAAGGAAGATATATCTGTCAGCAGGGTAGGGAGCTCCCTCTCACACAGTGATACAGAGCCGTACAAAAACCTCCTTCCTCTTTTCTAAAGAAACACAATCACAGATGTCACACCGGGAACATTCATGGTAATAAATGTATTAAATGGGTTGTTATTGTTAGTAAGAGAAACTGTTAATCATGATGGGAAATGTAAAGAGTAACTCCACTTTGGGTGAGAAGATACCCTTCCCCTCTCGGTGATCTATGTAAAGTTTGCTGCAGATTCCTACCTTTTGTTATTCTGGAGTAATAGCTATTTGTTTTTCTGTGTCCATGTGCTAATTGAATGGGAGTGGCTTTATAATTATCAATCAGCTGCTGCACCTGCTGGACTCCAATGAGGAAAGTGGCAGGGTCTGCATCCCTTTAGATGTGATTTCCATTTGGGAGCATCTCATCAAAAATGATATTTTTGTTGTAGGGGATGCCAAAAATGTATCTTAATGCAGATTTCTGGGAAAATCAGTGAGCCAATCACTCAAACAGGAAATGACATTTTCAGGGAGGTGTTCTGTAGACCATCTGTGTACAGAAAGCCTCCAGTTAGCCATATTGCATTTTACAGAAAATTACAGCACTGCAAATTGAAAAGGAAAGGTCAGTTTTTATCACAATCAATGACAATATGACCTGAGTCACAATTGTATACATGATATTATTTTTTCGCTAATTTTGTTTCTTATTGGATCTTCTTCTATTCAGCACTCTGACAATTACTGCAGTGAATGCAGATAATGAAAGACTTTAATACAGCGAGGTCACAGCAACCCCCCAATAGAGTGACCAGAGCTGTCCAGGGACCTCCTTCCTGTCACATATAAAGACATTCCTCAACAACATTTTGGGCCACTTCACACTACATGCGTTTCAGTGTGCTTTTTTACTGCATCCAAAATACACAGATTGTAGGTTGTCAATGTCATAGTTCATGTCAGTGCTTGCAGTTCCAATGTGTTCCAGTTGCAGAAAAATAAAAGAACATGCTGCATTTTTCCTGCACAAAACTGTACTGGGATGCCGTAAAATGCATGAAAACATGCACCAGAATGCACCAAAAATGCACCAAAAATGAACCGAAACCCCTCCAAAATGCACTAGAAAGCATTAAAAATGCACTGGAATGTGCCAAAAATGTGTAAAAAATGTGCGTGCAGAAACACATCTGGAATACATCTGGACTGCGTTTCTATGGTGTGAACCGGCCCATAAAGGAGACAGATGTATGATGGACAGCACCTGTGTCACCCTCAGTGTACTTTCAAGACATATGTGCCATCGCTCTGAATGTGGGGGAGGGGTGTCAGTTTACCAATGAACAGTACAGATATGCTCACAGCAGTGCTATACCTGTGCTGCTCACACATGTCCTGTTATCCACTCGGGAGCCTGGGGGCCCCACTTCCAATTGTACTCAGACCGCGGCGCAGGACGTTCATAACAAATATCAAGTTTTTACTCTGCTCCAGCTTGTACATGGAATGTGGGAGCAGCAGAGGAACAGCACTGCTGTATGGCTCCATGCACACTAGCATTTTTTTTTTTAAAGCTCTTAGAAGCTGTTATCAGCATTTTTTTTCTGCTCCTAGAAGCTAAATAATGTTATTCTATGTGTCCATGCACACTACTTTAGGCTAGTAGCATTTTTCAAGCTTTAGCATTTAGAAGCAGAAAAAAATAGTTTTTGTAGAGTTTTTAGGCACGTTTGTCTTGCAGAAAAAAAAATCTAAATACTCCTAACAGCTTTTTTCTAGCTTTTTACTTTTTTTCCCTACATGTACTGTAAAAACACTAATAAAATGCTGATGCTCCAAATATGCTATTTTTTTTAAAAATGCAGGAAAAAAAGCTGGGTAAAAAATGCTTGTGATAGCATTTTTTAGTAGTGTTATAGTACGGTTTTAGTAGCATCTAGAAGCATTTAGCAATGTTTAGCAGCGTTTAGGTATTTTTCTGCTGGAAAGACGCTCCAAAATAACTCTACAAAAGCAATTTTTAGTATTGGAGTTTTATTAGTGTTTGTACAGTACATGTAGATAAAAAGCTAGACAAAAGCTGTTAGAAGCATTTTAGTAGCATTTAGTACCTTTAGAAGCATTTAGTATTTTTTTTCTGCTGGAAAAATGCTCCATAAAGAACTCTACAAAAACAATTTTTTTTCTGCTCCTAGACGCTAAAACTTAGAAAACACTAACAGCCTAAAGCAGTGTGCATGGACACAGAGGATAACATGATCTAGCTTCTAGGAGCAGAAAACAAATGCTGATAACAGCATCTAGGAGTAGAAAAAAAAAAAACACTAGTGTGCATGGAGCCTAAAACGCTACTAAAAAATGCTATGGCCAACATTTTTGTAGCTTAAAAAAAAAAAGCTAGTGTGCATGGAACCTAAGGGCTCATTCACATGAATGTCCTGATTGGGTCTGCCTGCCCGTTTTTCAGGTGGACCCAATTGGAACCTCCATTATCCTTTATTGAGTTGTGAGTGTAAATGGACATGTGTACATTACACGTGTTGACATCCGATCCACCAAAAAAGGGCCAGATGGGGATCCAATTCCCCTTCCTTCTGTCAGATCGGATCAGATGAAAACTGACCATTTTCATCCGACTGTCCATTGAGGGGAGTGAGCAGCTCTGTGTTTGTTCTGCAGTAGTGGAGGGGACACAGAGCTGTCATCCGGTTGCTCAGAGGTGATCAGTGGAGATATCTCCCGCTGAGCAATCAGATCTGCTAATCAGGTCCCCACCGTGTGAGAGAGCCCTAAGTGTGTCTATGATGTTTAGTGACACCTTTTCTAGGTAGGATATAGATGGGCAGAACACACCGGAACGCACCAAAAATGCACTGGAACACACATGTCACTATTTAAATTGAAGAAAAAGAGAGGGGAAAAATGAACCGGAAAGCATCAAAAATGAACCGGAAGGCGTCAAGAATGCACCGGTACACACTATAAACATGTCAAAAACACACATGCAGAGACACATCTGGAACGCATCCGGACTGCATTTCTATAGTGTGAACCGGCCCTCAGACGTTTCTCTGCCCAATCCTCTCCTGCATACACTGGTGGTGGGTTTTTTGCAGCCTCCAAAACATATACGCCCTTAAACACACTGATGTGTGCACGGCCACATAGGATAACATAGAGGTGCATTTAGAGGCTGGAAAAGTCAAATGCCTGTAAAAGTGACATCTTGTATGTCCTGTGTGTGTGAAGTCTAAAGTCAGATTCAGTTGGTTCCTTACAGCTTAGAGACACCTGCTGTGATATTTACCACCGCTAAAAGACAGGTCCCGGGACTGCTACTGTTAGTGAACAAAGTAACCAGGGATGTTGGGGTTCAGGAGGGTGAACTAGACAAATCTGGCCATTATTTTGTCACCAAGCCCCAGACAGGCTGTGTTCAGGTCCAATTCAAGATTGACCTAAACATATCCCTACCCTGGAGCCAGTACCTGCCAACCCATCCCTGTGTGTACATGTCTCTACTCACTGATAGTCCCTACCTTATCCCTATAGGACATAAATAATGGACTGATACTGCCATCTACTGGTGGTCTTTGAGGTTTGTTTTTATTTTGCACTTACAAGAATATATCCAGTACATATTTTTCCCAGTTTGGTGTTAGGAATCATGCACACTGGGCTTACAAAATGTGGCTTATCCACTTGGTGACCATATCATGAGGATGTACGGGTGCAAAGCGACCTCTCTGCACTATATCACATATCTGATACATGATATAGCTCTTTTGGGTAGGGGGCATGCACACCGCCTCGGCTGTGCTGTGATTAGTTACAGCACATGCCTATCAGTGGGTCCCGGCCAATGACTGATGGCTGGGACCCACCAACTGGCAAAGTGGATGACAGGACCGAGCTCTGTGATTTTAAACAACACCCAGCTCTATACTGACAGCAGGGATGTGCTGGATTTTATTTCACTGAAAAGCAGGGTGTAAAAACTGGCACATTTCTCACAATGTTTGACCATTTTTCCAGAAGTGCATTTGTGAGGTCAGGCACTGATGTGGGATGAGAAGGCCTTGCTCACAGTCTTGGCTCTAATTCATTCCAAAGGTGTTCTATCGGGTTGAGGTCAGGACTCTGTGCAGGCCAGTCAAGTTCCTCCAACCCAAACTCGCTCATCCATGTCTTTATGGACCTTGCTTTGTAAAATCATCACACAGTACACACACTAAACATTGTTAGGCACACATTTAACCCCTTGATCACAATAGATGTTAATTCCTATCCAGCCAGCGTCATTAGTACAGTGTCAGTGTATATTAGCACTCATCACTGTATTAGTGTCACTGGAGATGTCAATGGCAGTTAGTTCCCACAAAGTGTCAGTTAGCATCATATTGCCCCCGTACTATCACTGTCCAGCTATAGTTCATTATAGTTATTGCCACCATTACTATTATAAAAAATAAATTCAAATTTCAGTATATATACCATAGTTTGTAGACACAAAAACTTTCACGCAAACCAATTAATATACACTTATTGGGATTTTTTTTTACCAAAAATATGTAGCAGAATACATTTTGGTCTACATTTATGAAGAAATTTGATTTCATACATTTTTTCATTGGATATGTTATATCTCAGAAATTAAAACATATTGGGACTTCTTCAAAATTTCCTGTCTTTTTCATTTTTATAATAAAAGGATAAAAAAAACCCAGTGGTGATCAAATACCACCAGAAGAAAGCTCTATTTGTGTAAAAAAATTATATCCATTTTGTATGCGCACAGTGTTGCACAACCAAGCAATTGTCAGTTAAAGTAGCGCAGTGCCAAATAGTTTTAAAAAAATTCTCATAAACAAAAGCTCAAAATAGTGCTTTATCCTTTAACCACTTCCCTTCCTGCCCATGTATATAAACGGTCGGACGGGA